TCATGCATTTCATCCAGTTCAACATGATCCATCTCATCCATCGAAGCAATGGTACTTGCAACAGTAACTCCTTCATCAAGTCCACCGTCGAAATTCACCGAGTTATCTTCTTCTTCTTCAAGTTCTTCATCATCCTTAAGAGAACCACATTCTCCAATGACCGAATCACTTGAATCACAAGTTGTTACAGACGTTTGTAGAACTTCACTCTTACATGACGAGCTCAAATGTTCTGGTGACAACGTCTTCACAGATTCTTCTACAACTTGTTGATCCACTTCATCATCATTGTTCTCTGGAACACTAACATCTGAAGCTGGCATACGAACACTTGGCAATTGAACGGTTATACCTTCAATCTGTTCCAGTGTTTCCTCACTTGCATGTGCAGTTTCCTCACAATGATCATCTCTCTGCTTCTGAACAATATCACTACTATCGTCCACTGCAGGCGCTGCGCAATCCACGCCTCTCTCGAGATGCATGGATTCCAAATTCACAGTCTCGCTCGAACCATTCGCAGCGAGAACACTCGACGACGACTTCAACTCCATAGTTTCGTCTGCTTCGTCGATGCTTGATTCCTCAACATCATTACATGCAGTAGGCTCTCTGCATGCCTCAAAATGCAGCGATTCAAGTTCCTCATCTTCTTTATTCGAAATGTTGTGACGATCCTAGTATGTTATCTCCTCCGAAACCCGCAAATCTGACACAAACTTGGCAGTGCGTTCATCCGGAAATACACCTTACAACCCACAACATCTTCTGCGTAACCAAGGACAAAACCAACCTTCGCATTGTCGTGATGTTTACGACGTCCAGGTGACACAGTAACGTGTACATACGCCAAGGCTCCAAACTTGCGAATGTGATGAATGTCAGGCTTCATCCCGAACCTAATCTCGTACGGTATCCCCTGTGTTCCCTTGTTTAACACTCGGTTGTTAATGTAGACAGCATTTCTCAATGCTTCTGACCACAAACGCTTGGTAAATCCAGCATGATGCATCATGGCCTTGGTCATCCCGACGATCGACTGGTGGGTCCGCTCACACAAGTTCAATTGAGAACTTTTGGGTCCTACAAGTACATGCTCAATTCCATGTGCATTGTACCAGTTCTCCATCTCTCGGTTGACAAATTCACCACCTTTGTCCGATAACACTTGCTGGATCATGTACTTGGTGCGTCCTCCGTTACTATCCCGTCTCCCCGCTTGCCGTTCAGCCCACATCACATGTTCCTTGATGTGGTTGTTGATCACGGTGCTCAACTTGCTAGTCAACAAATGCACCGTAACGAAACGCGAGTAGCCATCCATAATGACAAGCACCGCTTCGTACTTAGTCCCGTTATCCTTGCTTGGAATCAACAGATCGACGTACACCATCTGGTTGGGTACCTTGGTCTTTCGGTCGATCTTCTTCTTATGTGGTTTCTTCTTCTGTTTGGCGATATGACAAGCTTCACAATCACCAAGTTGTCTTTGAAGTAGCATCATTCCATGTACCAAACCTTGGTCTACCATGGTCTTCAGATACTGCGGACACGTGTGTGCAAGTCTTTCATGCCACAATTGTAACGAAGCCACTCCTTCACCCGTAGTAAAATTGCACAATCTGCCGTTTTGTGGTGCTACAATTCCACTAGCTTCTGGATGACTTGCAAAGAACCCCCACGTAGCCTCGTATTGTGTTGCAACAAACACAGTTTTCCCGTTTTCACTCACACGGAAATTTCTTGTTTCTTGCTCATAGTCAAAGTCAAAACCTTGTTCTGCAGCAAGTCCCGGTGAAAACAAACTATGTTCCGCTCCAGGTACGTAGAATACGTCATTGAGGTAAAACATAACTCGTTCACCATCAACTTCAGTAGCTACCGCAACTGTACCAACGCCAGTGATCTGTGACGCCATCGCTGGAGTCACACCATGTATACTCTGTGATTCACTCGTGTCTTCCGTGAATGCCACATAGTAAGACCTATTTCCAGTCAAGTGAATGTCTGCAGCAGTATCAAAGAACCACCATCCGCCAGAAGTATCCGTGAATCCACCAATTTCAGCATGTTCTTCATCTTGGTTATCCACTTCAGGATCTTCAGGATTGTGTTCATTGACGTCTGCATCAATTCCAGCGTCAAACATCATTGCACCCGACGTGCCAATCACAACTCCACCTTCAATGTTTACTTGTGCAGGTCTCGACGGCACATTAACACTTGAAGTCTGTTGCAAGAGGGTGACATTTCCTCGAGGTTTGCGCTTCGTCTCTGATGTAGCGACTCCACCACCAACTGGAGTCTTCGTTCGATCAGGACACCCAGCTCTGAGATGCTCCGTACTCTCACAGATATAGCACTTTCTTGGCTTCTTCTGTTTACTCGAGTCCCTGGACACGTCTCGAGACTGACGTCCAGTCTTCATACTAGTGTCTCTCTCCTTCGCATTTGTCAGATTTCCTCCATACTTTTGACTTCCCACGATGACCTCCACCGTCCTTCGTTCGAAACTCTCTCTGTCTGGAATCGGCAGAGCGAATCATGTCTCGAACATTGTTTGGAGTAAAAATACCAAAATCTGGATTGTAGCGAATCGCAGCCTTCATATTCTCAAACTCCGGCTGATTTGGTAGACTCTCTAGCAAAATTTCTACCATGTCGGTGTCCTCCACCGTGTACTGCAACGACGCTAACTCTGTCCGCAAGTTGAACATCTTACTGAGGTGCTTGTTTACATCACCACCCGAATTCAACTTCGTACACCAGAGATCGTTGCGAAGACTTCGTATGCGATGAGCCATAACAGCCTTGTTAGCTCTTCCTTCATACAAGTCGCATAATGCACTCCACATCTCCGTTCCAGTAGTCTTGTCACGAATTTGGTGCAAAATGTCCGGTGGAACTGAAGTTCCCACCAGCCGTAAGATCTTCATCTGGCTGTGGTCAAACTCCTCTTCTGTCTCGGCACTTGAAAGCATCGGTCTGGTAATCGTCCCTTCCAAGATGTCCGTGAGCTTCTTTTCCCGAAAGACTGTCAGCATTGCCCATTTGTACGTAGGCCAGTCTTTACCGTCCCAATTCTTGGGAATCCCCTCGGTAGTATACTTGAGAGGCATCGCCATCTTGAGTCACTTGTAGTGCAGCAGGTTCTCCGTCACTTGGGCTCAGAACCCTATTTTGATTAGTCAATAGTCGCACTTCTTGATCGTATGGCCGATACTTCGCACTTGGGGAAGAAAATGAAAAGTAAGATTAAGTTAGTTAATGCTGCTGCTTCTCTGAGGTTCGCTGATCCTTTAAGCGCGCTGTATCAGCTTCTCAAGCTGAGCCTCGTCGCTTCTCCTTCACTATACTCCCAACAGCACTCCTGCGCTTATGTTTGATACGCAGAGTCTCGTAGCAGTTTGCTTTCGTCGCACGTCGGCCTTCATTACCTTCCAACTGCCACATCGACGATATGCATTCCAACAGATATCGCTAGCATAAGCCAAGCCAGCCTCGCAGCACTCAGCCCAAACGCAAGCGCGAATGCGCTTATCGAGCAAGCTCTCAAGGTTGAAGTAAAGAGCTGGGCTCGGGCGGTCGATAAGCTGCTGGTGGCTCTAACTCTAAATCGCCAGTGCAGCGGGGCTGCCGTAGCTTTAGCGTCAGAGGAAGACGTTCGACTCAAAGAGTCACTAATACTAAGTTCCTTATCCAAAGGACACTTACAGCCCAAGACCAGGGCTCAAAGTTAACACCTTAACTTTTATGCTTCAAAACCAGAAGTGTTTTATTTACTATTATTGCGGCCAAGCCGCCTAGGGGTAAATGTATCTCTTTAACTATCTAGCATAGTTAAACCTAATCAAATGCATAACGTGTGGCTTTCAGCCAACGTACTGAGATACCTTGTTAACTCTCCAACTTATGTACTGAGAGTTTGTTAACTCTCCGGGTACTTCGTACCCCTGTGTGCTCCACACCATGTAACCCCGTTACAGCCAGTATATGGGTTGACGCCTCCGTGAGCGCAAATCATCCACGTGCGAGTACTTTTCAGTCTTGACGCTCAAGTCCCAACAGCAGCGTGCTACCTGAACATGCATATTTGCACGGAATAAGTATAACCCATTTTCTGTAAAAGCTAAAAGAGAACTTTAGTTTCTGGAATTGCCAAGCTCTGGAATAAGAATTTTCTTCGTTTAGAAATATATTCCAGTGGAATAGCGAAGGGTCGCATTATTCCACTGGAATAAAATATTAGAATTTCGATCGGTAATCTATCCGTCATTTATTCAGATTTTATCCAGATAATCGAGCCTTGTGTAATTCCAGAAACTAAAGCTCTCTAATATCACCATTGCTTTTGCTTTTGATTCTTACACGACACCTGTTGAGCTATAAAGTACATGTACTGTACCAGGATCTGTTTTTTTTACAAAAAAAAATCTGGCGAGTGCTGATTGAATAGAACCAGGATCTGTCAGTTTAAGGTGCGCATTTTCGGGTACATACTGTACATTATCAATACCGGTAGAGCCTCTACTAGAGGAGGACGAGAAGGTGGACACCGTCCTACGCTGGAGATACTGAATTTTACAGCGCGCAAAGACCCGTGCAGTAGCATGTGATGCGACAGCCAACTATGAATTGCGTGGCCTCTGGGATGCCAATGAGATGAGATTCTCATGGGTGGAAGCCAAACCGACGGCTGATCACTCACGGACCGTGAGTCACCCCTCGAAAGTTTCGAGTCGAAACACACGAATTCTCGCCAAGATTGGAAAAACCTGTCTCTTCCACAAGCAGCCATACGACGTGAAACCACAAAGAATTTTCATTACCCACCCTGGTTTTAATTCTTTTCCATTAAAACCAGGGTGGGTAATGATTCTTGATTGGTGCATATTCACTGTTTCCGACCAATCGTGCAGCGGGTTCCAGCCTTTGGCCGCTGACGATTCAACCGTCACGCCATTCTCGGATTCACGTCAGGCAGACCACCCCCAGTGGCTATGGTGCAGTTCGCCAAGAAGCTGGCGGCGGCCCAGCGGCCTGAGTGGAAAGGGTAAGTCCATCTTGACCGACTTCTTCTCCTGCCTGGCAAAGTACGAATTCTTTCTCGTTTATTCTAACGATTTGTTGCTAACGGAATCAGACACTACCTCGAGTACAAGCAACTGAAGAAGAAGCTGCGCAAGGTGGTGGAAGCTCAACGCGAGGAGACGCGCGATGAGCAGGAAACCTTCAAGCAAGCACTAGACTCGGAGGTGGAGCGTGTGGTTCTCTTCTTTCTCACTAAACAGGGAGACTTCGCTACCACATTGCAAGGTCTACGCACGCAGCAGCTGGAGCTCGCGTCCGGGGACCTGGAGGCTATGCACTCTATTGCCGACATGTACCGTCATGTCGGAGACGAGCTCGTGAACTTGCTGCACTTCGTGGAGCTCAATGCGACGGGAATCCGCAAAATCCTCAAGAAACACGACAAAACTCTCAAGGAGCATAAAATCATGGGCTCGTACTTGTCCTCACGCACGGACTCGCAGGCTTCGCACATGCAGCAACTTTACCATGACGAAGGCATCTCCGCTATCATCGCCAGTATCCGCGCTGCGCTCACAAAGTTGCGCAAACTCGAAGTTCAGCTGGCAGCGGACGCTACCAACAAGGCTCTGACGCGAACTATCTCCGAGGATGAGCCTGTACTGAGTCGTATCGGCCAAGCACGTCGCAGACTGCACAAGTCGACGCAATACGTCAAGACTGTGGCCGCACGGTCGCTGATTTTCGACTCGGAGTCCTCGGAAGACGAAGATGACGAGACGTACGACATGCTCAAGCGCCTCAGACAGGCCTCCAAGCCCTCACGTCTGCTCAATATGCTCAACACTTTTTTGTACATGACCAACTACTACATTGTCGCTCCTACAAGCGGGAAATACGCAGCAGAACTGGGTGCTGAGGCCTCCATGAGTGGCGTTATCGTGGGTATGACTCCCGTGGCTTCTCTTGCCAGCGCCGTGCTGTACAGTTGGTGGGCCAATCGCTCGTACAAGGCGTCGCTGAGTTTCGCGACTGTGTGTCTAATTCTGGGCAACTTGCTGTACGGTATGGCGCTCTCTTACGACAGTGTGGCGATGGCGTTGGCCGGTCGAATGTTAAATGGGTTTGGTGGCGCTCGAGCGATTAATCGACGCTACATTGCGGACAACTATTCGCGGGAGGAACGAACGCAGGCTTCGGCGTTGTTTGTGACTGCCAGTGCGCTCGGAATGGCTGCAGGTCCTGCACTTGCAGCTGCTCTCCACTATCTGCCCGACTACAATTTTGCTGGCATCGAAATCACCACGGAGACCGCGCCTGGTTGGGTTATGTTTGCGTTGTGGACGATCTATCTCATTGCCTTGGTGGTCTGGTTCGTGGAACCGGATAGAATGGAAAGAGAACGATTCCTGGAGCGTCGACGATCGATGCTGGAGAACGGAATGGGCAACTCGAGCATTGCTGTCGTCGCCGCAAAGATGGGAGAAACCACGCCGCTGATCTCTCGCTCGCACTCGATGGGCAGTCCGCCGCCTCTGTCTTCTCTCTGGCAGAACGTCCCGGTCGTGGCGTCTCTGTTCATCTACATCGTTCTTAAACTGGTGCTGGAGTGTCTTATCACGGCCAGTTCGACTATTGCAATGTACCATTTCAACTGGGGCTCTACGAACAACGGCATGTACCTCGCAGCCCTGGGTCTGCTGATGTTCCCTACCAATATGGTGGTAGGCTGGATGAGCTTCCGTTACGAAGACCGAGAGATGATTATGCTCTCTGAGATTGCCATGTTTGTCGGCGTTGGTATCATCGTCAACTATGGTCACTACTCAGTCGCTCAGTTCGTCGCTGGAGGAGTGATCATTTTCATTTCCACGAATGTGCTGGAAGGCGTCAACATGTCGCTCTTGTCCAAGACGATCCCAAAATCTTTCGCCAAGGGAACGTTCAACTCGGGATTGCTGGCTACTGAGGCTGGCACCTTTGGACGAGCTATCGGCGACATCGCAATTACTGTTGTGGGTCTGCCCGGCATCAAGTATGTGCTCAACTGGACGTTTGTTCCTCTCATCGCGGTCTCGCTTCTTACAATTCTCTACACGGCTCGCGTGTACCACAAGCTTGCCACCGACGACTAAATACAACAAATTGTAATCAGCTGAATGGCAGCGATGCAATGTCCTCCTACTCGTGCCATTTCGTTAGTAGCTCTTGTGTTACAACATCTGTAATGCTTAATTCAAGCCTTCTCGATGACTAACGCTGAGGCTCCACCGCCTCCATTGCACACAGCAGCACAACCAATTCGGCCGCCTTCCTGATGCAACACCGAGCACAGCGTCACGATGATGCGCGCCCCCGAGCAGCCCAGCGGATGTCCAATAGCCACAGCACCTGTTTAAATAACAGCAGAAGTCAGCACATGTCTGGTACTTAACATTCAAAGGCGAGCGCTACCTCCATACACGTTGACCTTGGCTCCGTCCAGCTTCAGTAGCTTCGTGTTGGCACATGCAACAACTGAAAAGGCTTCGTTTATCTCGAAAAAGTCGACAGCATCGTGCTTCACCCCAGCGTTCGCGAGAGCTTTCGGGATAGCCAACGCTGGCGATGTGGTGAACGACCGCGGTTCCTGTTCGGCGTCACCGAAGCCTCGCACGATCGCCTGGATCTTGGAGCTGAGTCCCAAGGCGTCGGCTTTCTCTCGACTCATGAGCACAAGAGCAGCAGCGCCGTCACTGATGGGAGACGCATTGCCAGCTGTCACCGTTGGCCCAAAGTCGCCACTTGGCTTGAAGCAGGGTCGCAGTTTACTAAGAGAAGCCACATCCACCGGTCTCACCACAACCTCTTCGTCCTCTGTCACCGTCTGCGGGGCGGCACCACGTTTTGCAGGAGGAACCTGCACCTCGACGACTTCTCGTTTGAACTTCCCACCCTTTGTCGCCTCAAGCGCTCGTCGGTAGCTCTCCGCTGCATAGGCATCCTGAGCTTCTCTTGAAATGTCGTGCTTGCGAGCACACTCCTCTGCAATGTCCCCCATTGGGATGTTCTCAAAGGCATCAAACAGTCCGTCCTACACCATAGAAAAACCGAGAAATCTGAATAACAAGTCGAGTTCCAACTGCACCACTGCCCTTAACTTACAGTCTGTAGAGCGTCCGAGAAAACGAGGTCTCCGTATCTCGCGCCACTCCTGGCCTTCTTGGACAGATGAGGCGCTTGACTCATGCTCTCCATGCCGCCAACCACCACCACGTCTCTCATCCCCAACATGATGGACTGAGCTCCCAGCATCACAGCTGCAACACATTGACCTCTTAATAAATAGTTACGTGCGATAAATGCACTCGTTATTTTCAGCACCCTTCATCCCTGAGGCGCAGACTTTATTGACGGAGGAGCAAACGACGGACTGCGGGAGGCCCGCGCTTACTGCCGCTTGCTTGGCGGGCGCCTGGCCTGCTCCGGCGGAGATGACGTGGCCCAAGATGAGCTCCTGTACGTCGTTTGGCTTGACTCCAGCGCGGCTAATTGCCTCTGTCAAGGTGATGAAAAGATTAGAATAAACAGTGACTTAAGTGGAAGACTGGAGATGTACACCTTTGATTGCGACTCCGGCGAGGTCTGAAGCCTTTAGCGCGGAAAGTTTACCCTGCAGAGAGCCACAGGGCGTTCTGGCGACGCCGATGATGCAGACATCGCGCGCGGAGCTAGATGTGTCGCCGTTTACCCGCGGCTTCTTGGCAGGAGGTGGGGAGCTCATGGCAATCAAAGCTGAGGAATGCGTTAAGTAGCCTGCTGAAGTGGTACTAAGGAACTTCAACATGGACGCCACTTACCCAACGCTTGACAACATCCAATGTAGCACAAGTACAAATTGTACTGCGGTTAGCAGCCACATCGAACGAGAATATGACTGCCACTAGTGGTGGTCGCTACTGTCGCTGGCGCTACCGACAGGCTACCGCTGCAGCCAATGCGATCTTTGTGAAGTAACGATAGTTTGGTGTTTTGATTGGATTTGCTAACAGCGTTGATTGGAAGGATCGTAATCCTGAAACGACGCAGATCAAAATGGCTGTACTTCCAACAGTGCCTCTCTCCCAGCACCAGTTGTCAAGAAACGTTAGACTTGTGACAGTGATCAGATCCGCAATGGTCCGTGTTGGTTCGTGGAGGAGTTTGGCTCTTCTTGTGCTGTGCCATTCGCAGCATACCGAGGCTTCTGTCTCCATCTTCGAGCGGAATGCTGAGCCCACAACTTTCGTGACGTCTTCTGCCACGTTGAACTCGGGGCCAGTTTGGCTCGTGCTACCAATGTTGCTGGACGTGCAGCCAGTGCTGCTCAAAGTCGACGTGACGCGCCACGTTCCTGCGCAGGTCCAGAGCTTCTGTCGCGAGCATGGAGTGAACGCAACAAGGTGTGAAGGAGCAATTCGAGAGGCGCTGGAAGAAGTCGTTAACTTCCAAATGTTCTGCAAGAAACCAACTGCGGAAAGCGCGCTACCTGGGTTTATAGTGACGAAGAATGTGCTCATAGAGAATGCAGAGGCTGCGTCAGCGTCCTGGTGGCAGAATGACCCGGAAGATGTCGCGATCGATTTCTGCGGTTTCGCCCAGGCGAAAGCGGGTGAAAAGTGTGCTGAGGCGCTCGAGAAGGCGCTACATCTGTCATTCGAGTGGATGCTCGCTCTAAGTCCTTGTGAGCAGCAAGCTAAAGCAGATGATGCGGCTACCGCATCTGACTCAGAGACCTCGAGCTTTGCAGAACGGCTTGCTACAGTGGAAGAAATGATTGCTGCGCTTCAAACTACGTCGTCAGTGACACAGGAGGAGACTGTGAATGAAAACCCGAGTGCTGAAGGAGGTTCGATTGAGGAGATCAGTGCAGAAAGTACTGGGTCCGAAGAAGATAACGTTGATTTTCAAGAAACAACGGCCTTGAAGGGGAATGTGGATCAGTTGCGGGCAGGGATTGAGCGTGCTGGACTTATAAGGAACGAATACGATGCAGGCCAAGACTCTGCGGCTATTAGAGAAGAAATCAGCTTAAATAGCAGTGAGAGACTCAGCACAGATGCCCACGAAGGGCTCCAACAAGCCACGGATGCCGAGATTTTTGAAACCCTGGCAAAGAAGATCGGTGTTAATGAAGGTGGAATTACCGACACGAACGGGTCATGCGAAGGTTCAAGCACGCCGAGCCGTATCGGTGAAGATGTGGACTCTCAAAAGTCCTGGAAAGTTGGTGCAGCTCTCGTGTTGGCTCTGTCGATCTTGTACGTGGCCGTCGATTTGGTGCTTCACTGCGTGCACTTCATGGCTGGCCATCTTGGGGCTCCGAAACAATTAGCTCGTGTGGTTCTACACGATATCCTGCTACTCTTGGGCGGTGGCCCTGGTAGCACGTTCAAGCTTACGTACAAGGGAAATACCGACGGAAATACCGACGTGAAGAAGCCCAGCACACGACGATCCAAGGTTGCGTCGTCTACGGGAGAATTAAAGCCAAAACGGGAAGTCAAGAGCGCTGAACAGAAGACACTCGATGGATCACTTAAGGTGCAGGAAACACCCCACCACCCTTCACCCAGTTTCACGTGTGTGGCGATGATGTTGAGCATTACAAACGACTCAATTGCACTGCCGCACGACACACAAAGTTTTGTACAAGACAGCAATGAAGCTCTGAGGATTATTCAGAAAAAATATCAACAGGAGCTTACCGCCGCGCAACGAATCCAGAAGGCGTGGAAAACTGCCCAGTGCAAGGTTTTACTTAAGCATGATTGGACAACCTTCTCCAACGCCACTGCTGAAAAGTCTGACAGCAATACCCCGATCTACAGGCCAGCTGGAACTGAACGAGTGACAACGAATCTCCGGCGCTTTGTGCCAACCCCTTTACCACCGCGTTAACCGAACGCAGAATTGCGTCGTGTAATTTCATAAATGGAGTATGCCTTAACCCCCGAGGAACTCAAAAGTTTCAAAAGAACTTTAACCTTGTTGCAGTAGCGGAGTGATGAGTTACTAACTTCCAAGTGACGAACCGTGGTGGTTTGATCATGAAAATTGAGCTAGGAGAGCTGATGACACGTTGGGTATCGATGCCACCTAGAATTTGCTGAGTTTGCGGCAGTCATGTCGAGTAAGTTAACAGTGTCTTAGCATCAGCTCCAGGATTCATCAAGACCGACAAGCTGTTGGTTGCTTTCAGAACTTTTGGTGCCGACCGTATTGTCACCGAGAAAGCACGAGACCTCACCAGTCAGGTGTATGTACGCGATAAACAGCAACACTCGGTAGTAGGTTCTCACATTCGTATTTCTTATCGACAAACAGCTTGAGCCAGATCAACACCCAACATCAACTTTTTTGTATGTGTCAGAATAAAGCCGCTTCAGCTATCAAGCCTTGTTTAAAACGCCTTGGGTGTGTTTTATCGTGTATTGGAGCCGTTCTGGTGCTCGATATATACGACAGTACACGTGATGTCGTCATGGAAGCGTCTACGCACCGCACCTTGGGGCATCGACATGAGTTCGTGCATCATCAACCCATCTCGATGTGCGATTTTTTCTAGCACAGCATGAATGAGTGCAGCGCTTGCAGTCGAAAAGAACAGCGATTGCTCAGGATCTGGAGACAATAACCCAATTAATTAACCTTCTTCCCCTCCCAAGTGAATCACATTAGGCGCCGACGTACCGAACTTAGCAACAATATGTACAGCTTCTAGAGGCGTCATGACGTCCCACAGACCGTCGCTCGCTAGTATAACGTACTTTTCGCTTCCATCCATGTAAACGGTAGTGATGCTGGGCTCCGATGTAATGTACGGCACCTTGCTCTGCAACCAATCGCACTACAGTCAGTGTCACAGAACATCTGAAGGGAAGGAGACAGCAACACTGACCTTGAATGGAGCTGAGCTCAGTTCGGCGCATTTGAGGTAGAAATCTCCAAATGCCCGAGTCATTGCCAAGCTGCCAGCAACCCGCTTCACACCAATGATGCCGGGGCCAGTCGCTTGATCATCTTTGCTCATCCGGATGGCATTTCGATCATGAGAACGCTCGACCACAAGCTTAGTCTCTAGCGGGTTGTTGCACGAGTGATCCACCGACACTTCCGTTGCCTCAAGTCCTTGAGTCTCTTGGCCTACTTTCCCTAGCACAGCAGCGCAATCTCCTACGTTCGCGATGTAGAGCACCGAGTTGATGAACAGCGCGATGACCGCACACGCTCCGGCGTTACAGTAGCCCTTAGACATGCGAGTCTTTTCAGGAAGAGCTAAGAGCGACTGCTTCAGCTCCTCATCGGATCGTGCAAAGGCGTTCTTGACAATGGCAGAAACCTCGTCACTGGAGTTCTTGGAGGAAACTTCTGCAAGAATATGTTGGCACAGGGATGTGCGGAGGTGCCTGTACACAGCAGATTAGTATCATGTGATCACCCAGAAGCAAACAGAGCAGTGGCGTACTCTACTGCCCTGGATCCTCCATGCCCGTCGAAAACTGCGTTGATTTGGACGCCTCCATCCGCCGCCTTGACGATATTAAGGCTGCGATCTTCGCTCGGATCGTTGGCCTGCCCCAAGCGTTATTAGCACCCTTTTTGAGTAACATAATACATTCAGAGCGTTAAGCTGTACCTGGTATTCTGCAGTGCGGTGGCTCAAGATCACTTTAACTGAAGGATCCGAATCGATATCAGCGTCACGTGGACGCTTTTTCGAGCTTTGTGCCTTGCTAGTTTCTGCCTGGTGGCATGAACAGCTCGATCCATTACTGGAGCCGTTTGAAAATGAGATGTTGAGCTGAGCACCATGAGACGGGTTCCATGAGCAACTAAAAGCAACTTGCGCTGCCTTTAAGTTGCGTAACACATCTTCATTTGTTCCAAGCACAAAACTCGCTCCGATGACATCACAGCCCAGCATCGTAAGCGCGTCTATCGCAGCGATAATACTCTCCGCTTCACTGACCCAGTCCACAACTACAACAAATACATCCACCTTAACCTTAGACTGGCTATCCTCAACCGTCAACATTTCTGTCGTATCTCACCTAATAGCACCCGCGTAGCCACTCCAATGGCCTTGCGCTTCAATTCAACCGTAAATTTCCCATCTCCACAGTCGACGGCCACTACGCGTTTGCATTTGGACGCTTGGATCGTCGTCCTGCTAGGCGAGTTTTTCGCAGTCTTCTTCCTTATAACTGACAGTTCTCCATACGCTGCAGTCATTAAGGCATTTCGTCAGTCCTCCCTCCTTCGCACTGATTAAAATGCACCACCAATGCTTCATACCGAGCTGTTTGGCACCTGCGATGGCTCCAGCGATGGACGCAGTAAAGCGATGTGTGCCCGCCTCATTCGTTGCAATGTCACTATTCGAATCAGGAGTGATGATATCTCCTTCTACATGCAGCGCGACGATCTGGTTCACGTGCTGCGTCTCAAAAGGTCGGTACAGGTCGTTCACAAGCTGCTGCAGCGACGTCTTGTCGCTCAACAAGTTGGTCAGGTCCATTATGCTCTGTGACGCGTGACCCTTGCCCGTACAGCGGCTTGACAGCTCCAAGCGGTGCATGTACGGCTCCGGCGGATGGCCCGGCGGTAGGATTGCTGCAGTTGACGTTTTTCACCAATTACCGTATCGGACGCAATTAGCAGTTGTGGATTGGCTGAAAAGATGATAGGTGGTGTGGACGACTCCATTCCGTACTTAATGTGGATGCAGCATTTCGTTGTGACATTGCAGAGCTGTTCAACAGAAGAGCTACATGCGGCGCAGCTACTGAAGACGACGACGACATGGCTGTGCGTACGTATACGAAGTTTTATCTTTCTACTACTCTGATGTACAGCAAGCGGTGTTCCTGCTGTAGTTGCTGTGAGGGTTTCATCTATTAAAAGCGTGTACAAGCGTCGTTCTGGCAAACCTTCTGAAGCTAATCGACTGTATCTTTCGAGCAGGTAGTTGCCAGTCTTCCCACTGTAAACGGACACGAGTACTCCGTCATTTGTTCTTCACCAGTGGTCATCACTATTGGGAGGTACTGGTGGAGCGTATGGCTGACCCTCGGGGCGTCATGGTGGGCGTAGCACCGTTTGAAGCGTTCGAAGCAGGAGCCACAGAGGAGACGGTTGGATACGCCGCCACTGGGGTGATCCTGCATAGCGGTGAGGAAGTCTGCAGAGCGCAATCCTTTGCTGCGGGGGACACAGTGGGCGTGTACTTGGATATGAACTCACAACAGGTGGCGTTCTTCCTGAATGATGAGGCGCAGCCTGGTGAAGTTGAAGTAGAATCGGCCACCGAAGACAGCGAGGCGACTCACAGTATTGGCGATGGCATTGCAGACCTGGAGATGAAAGCACCAGCGTATGCGGCGAGCGCCAGGAGAATCTCTTGGCTGTCTATCCGAGCGCGTACAATGTTTGCGGCAATCAGAGTCTCCTCAAATGTGGACAGCCTCGTTGTGGTGAGATCCGAGCTACCCGATGATTATCGATAAGGTTTTGGCGGGCGGTTGTAAGTATAGTACTAGCCCCGTTTAGCTACAACATAGTATGTATCAAGGGACACGCGTTGCTGTTGTGCATGCCTTCTATGCTCTTCAGTGAGCTGACGGCTGATCACTGGAGCAGCACCTTCTCGAAAACAGCTTCGCGCACAGGCAGCAGATGCTGGAACGTATCGATGTTGGTGTAGTTGGCCATATTCTTCGACTGGCCCTTGGCGAACAGTGCGTCGAATTGCTCCTCCTTGCGCGTGTACTCGCGCAAGAAGTGATTGGTGCCGAAGAGGTGGTGGATTCGGGTCTCGTGCAGACGCACGACAACATGGTCCAGCCGCATCCAATAGCGCGACAAGACGTAGAATCCCGACGGCATCACGCGCTGCAGCAGCAGCAGCACAGAACTCGGGTTAGAATACTGCCTTGCATTGCCAAAATGTCCAACTCTAAACTTACCACTTTAACCGACATGGCGGAAGTTCCGTGATCATGGAGCTCGTCCTCATAGAGGGCAACGTCTTCGAACCAGAGAATAGGTTCGCGCTCCTTCAGCTTCTCGAAGTTAATTCGCTCGCTAGTAGTCTCCACCTGCGGGTCTTCTTCGCTCTTTGTGAACGTGACAGGCACGTTTTCAGACTTGATGAGACGCTGCAGCGAGCCCTTGTAATCAGTCGAGTACGTCCAGTCGTACGTGATGTCGAGCTCCTTCACATCCTCCCTGCAGACACAACCATTAGCCATATAATATATGTCCATCTATGCGCCTAACGCACTTGTTGGTATTGTGCTTGGCAATGGAGACCTTCAGCTGCTGGTTGGCCACAATATCCTTTGCATCTTCACTCGCTGGCGGGGGGAAGTGCGCGCCTTTGAGAGCCTCCACTGCCAGGAAGTTGTAGCACACGCCCGAGGGCTCATGGAATAACACCAGCTGGTTCTTGCCAAACACCATCTCCGGCGGCGTCAGATTAGCAGCCTCGCCGATTCTGCAGCAGTAGAAAACATTAGACGTCCCTTTCCGCACTGGTGTAATCAAGAACATCGTATCACGCACTCGTCCACGGTGTCAATGGGTGTAATGTGGGTCTTATTGGAACCGATAACCCAGTTATGCAGGCGGATGCCCTTATGCTCCACGGGGTCTGCCTGCGCCTCAATGAGGTTCTCTCGGCGAGAGTCACCAAGGTACACATGATTGGATGAGAGGGATCCATCTTCGGCAGCACTCGTGCTCTTGTACAGGACCTGGAGTAGCTCCAAGGCCCCATTATCCAACGTGTAGAACCCTGAGGAAGACATGCCTCCCCTGCGTCAGCAAATGCAATTGATGTGTCATACACAATTGGCTTCGCTGTGACTTGGCATTGAAGTTGTACCGAACAATTCCCAAACCTGTAAATCTGTCGATCTGTCCAAAGCCCCAACACATATTAACATTAACACCAACAGCAACCAGCATGTATCGTCCATTCCACACTGTGAGCAAATGACGTACTTGTTAAGCGACACTCATAAAAAAATTGTACAAAGTGAAAGAAAGGACTTGTCTTTTTCCACGCCAAGAGCTCCTTGTCACTTTCTTCAAGAATTTACCACACGCGGGTCGAATTCCTTCACTGTCTCACTTTCCGTTTTTCCACGGACCACACAAGCACCAGACCAACCCTACCGACCTTCTCCGCCAACCTTCTCCATCGACCATGGCGTCAGCTTTCGCTTTCCTGCCGCCTGTCCAGGGAGATCTCCCGCACTACGTCTCACCGGCTCGCTCCTTCACGTGGGCACCGGCAGTACTCGTCTTCGCTGGACGCGCTCGACTGCTTCCAAGGCCAGCCTCACGCCTTCTCAGGAGCCCTCGGGGACCAACACCGAATCTACGCACTCGCGGCTTCGCCACCCAGTCGATCAAGTCCTGGGGCCACTCACCGTCGGCAGCTCCACGACCACGCTATCAACCAATATCATCGCTTACTTCAGCGATGCTGGCAAAGCTTCGATCCGCAGCCAGTGCCTGACAATCGTCCCGTACAGCCCACCAGCAATGCCGCAACAAGAGCTGAATCTCGCGCTCGTCGGCCCCGTCGTCGCTCCACACGTCCACAAGGCCACATTGATGACCACTTTTCTGGCCGATCTCACTGCTCCGTTGACTTATCACAGCTTGTCTGTTGTCGTATATGACGACCAGCCTGCCACGCGTTCAAAGCCATCCAATGTGGCACCCTCTGTAGCCTCGACCGCAGAGCTGTGCGTGAGAGTTCTCACGAACCTGGCGGCAAACTATTCGCTGATTGCCACGGCCGTCCTCCGCGAGCCACACGATGGCCTTCGTACCAATGCCACAGCTACTGCCAATGTCGGCGACGCCGACACCAACCAACACAAGGTACACGAGTCCACCCAAGGCGCCACCCGAGAAGTCACTCGAGCTCGTTGTCCTGCACTCTCCAATCAACTCAGGATCCAGCGCGTACAGCCACGCGTGTGTGACTTCCAGCGGGCATCGAAACGCAAGGCCACGGCGGTCGACGCCAAGGATCGCCACGCACCAACCTCTGCATCAACACCAGTCCCGTCCAACAAGAACGTGGCGTCCAGGCTGTTCAGCTATCTCAAGGACGCAACGTATCTTGGACACCGAGCCGAGTCCAAGACGCGACGTTGTCAAGCAAGTGCTACCTCCAATCAGCGCAGGTGGCTCTGAACACAAAGACCTTCCAAACTGTACCAGCTCCGACGTACCAGCTCCAATGCACGAGCTCCCTTCATCAACTGCAAACGCCTACACCAGCAGCCGTAGTCGTACTTCTAATTATTCTTTAGAGTAGTATCTGCACATTATCTGTAAACACCAAAGCATAGTAACACTCCATTATTTATGAATACATATCTCCCACTTCACAGCAGCGCGCACGTAAGCCAGACACTTGAGATCTCCTTTGCTCTTCCAATGCTGCATGTACTGTAAGCTGATTTAGCATGCCGAACACATGCAATGGAAGTGCAGCACCAACAGCGGCGTCAACACCGTAACATCTTTGTAGAACTGCCTCAATACACACAGCACATCTTCAGCGGTATCGAATCCCGACTGACGAATGTGAATTCGTTCATGGCGCCCAGCTCGTGCGTTTCAATCTTGTCTATCTGCAAACACGCGAACTGCGCTCTTGAAGGCGAGTCGTCCGCACTATCTGTAGTAGTTGCTGTAACTATAGAGTACGGGAAGATGCTGTCAAGGTCCGAGTTGGTATCACCTTCGATATCAGATAACAGACGCATCGTGATAGTCTTCGTTCCTAGAAGAATGCTTTGGACGAGGTTTGGGCCGAAATCCAGTCTTGGAAGCACTCGGTCTTTCAAAAGCGCCACATTCTCAGTATCGAGTGACGTCCTGTTTGGCAAATTGAGGGCGAAGTGGAACAGGTGCAAGTCTCGCATGAAATGCGAATTGATTTCAATCCACGGACGGATGACTCTGTGGTAAAGCGAATTATTGAAGACATATTAGAGCCCATACATCCAGCCTACGCTTACCGGATCCGATCGACAACATCTTGCACACTCTGCTGCCTTGGCCCGTTGACAAGTAGCCATGCTGCCACAACAGAGGCAGAACGAGATCTGCCGGCGATGCTGTCGTTCGAATGGCAACAACACTTAGCAAACCAGGCACCCCATGCCTATCCATCGATTCTGCACTTACCAATGCACCAGCACGTTCGTGCCGTTCTGCTCTGCTGTCTTTCTGTCAGTCAGTATCAACTATCAGTTTCATCGCCGACATCACCTGCACAGTGCAGCGCCTTACACGAGCTTCTCCAGCTCCGACAGTATCTTCGGTAGTCTGCACAGCAAGTCACCGTCCTTTGAGTCTTCAATCTCGATGGTTGTCCTGGCGATCCTCACCTCCTCGTACACATCGCCCAATGCACTCGAGTGACTGGACACTGCATTTTCCCCCTCTCCCTTGCCAAGCAGCGCCAGAGCCCCACCGATACGCAATCGCTTCAAAGCCTCCACATTCCTCACAGCGTCAATGGAACCAATGAAGAGTTTCCCACTTATGTGCATGGGCTTGTCGTCCGTCATCTCCTGGACTTCGACCTCCTCCCCATACTCGTCCTGCAGTGTCTCATCTTCGGACGTGTAGGCCTCGTAGCAAGTCGCGGTAGTCTCCATCGGGCGCAATGGCTACACTTTAATATTTTTCACCAAATCCAGTGATGTACCAGAAATATGGTACATTTGTAGGGGCCAGCGCTTGGCTCTATCGGGAAAGAAAGCAACGGCGGACCTTCGGCAGGTTTAGAGCGGCGGCTGCAATCTCTCGCTCTGCGACCCCCATCGTCCTCTCCGAGCAGCAGGAGAGGCGTGACAAGACAGTGGCGAGGCTACCACAGTGTCTCTAACGCACTAACGCCGTTTACAGGCAGCGCAAGCCGCAGCCAAAGGACGTGCCATGAGCCAGCCCGTTAACGGCGGTCAGGCGGCCGAGGAGGCCGAGCTGGAGCGGCTATTCGGTCACATGGAGGATCTTCGTGTCTCGGAGGCAGCACTGGCATCCGTCAGCGCCTCAGAGGACGAAGAGGATGAAGAAGAAGACTCCAGCGCTCTAGATGATAGTGACGACGATGACGACGAGGATAACGACGTAGACGGCAGCGACGAAGAGGAAACAAGCTGGATTGCCTGGTTCTGCTCTTTGAGGGAGAATAGCTTCCTGTGCGAGGTGGACGAGGACTACATCGAGGACGACTTCAACCTCACGGGGCTCAGCAGCATTGTGCCCTACTACGACTACGCGCTAGACATCATCCTGGACATTGAGACGCCCAACGACAGCACCCTCACGCAGATCCAACAGGAGATGATTGAGTCAGCAGCCGAAATGCTCTACGGACTCATCCACGCGCGCTACATTTTGACCACTAAGGGAATGGCCGCCATGTTAGACAAGTACCAGAACGTAGATTTTGGTCGCTGCCATCGCGTCTACTGCCAGGGACAACCAGTGCTGCCCGTGGGCCAGTCAGACGTTCCCAGACACACGACCGTCAATGTATTTTGTCCTAAATGCCGTGATATCTTCTTCCCCAAGTCGCAGCGAGCGGGCCGTACGTTGCAACATGCTGTTATTTTGTTGTTATTTGCTAGAACTGATGCTATTTTGGCTGTTACAGAGATCGATGGCGCGTACTTTGGCGCGACATTCCCGCATGTGTTCCTTATGACTCATTCCCACCTGGTAGTGCCGCCGCCTACACAGACGTATGTGCCTCGCGTGTTCGGCTACAAGATCCACAGCTCCAGCGAGTACTACACCGGCAAGAAGAAGAGTTCGTCAGGTCGAGAGCGAGAAAAGAACCGGAAAATCAAGACTTTGATTGACCGCTTGAAGGGTCGACCAAGTGACGAACAGCAGGCTAGGTGAACAACTCACGATCGAGGTGGAGAAAGATATATAGTGTCGAGGGAGGCAAAAGTCTTTTGCTTTAGTTTTGCAACTGGAAGACTCGCGAGGATGGCGACTAGCGCTGCGTATGACTGTGCGAAGGCTCTCCGATGGCTCTGACCAGACGATTGCAACGGACCTCAGTAGTGGTCGCTTAATATTTGGCTAGCGGTGGAGACAGATCGACGGCGTAATGTACATGTGCACCGTTCGTTGACCTGTTGCGTGCTCAGTTGCATGTTGTAAGTAGATTTTTGCGCATACTTTAAGGTACTTGGCAGACGAGAAAAACAGTGGCAGGACGCAAGCAAAACTCCAATCCACTCTTTCCTTGTTTTTGTGGTCTACGGCATCGCAAGAATCGCATCGACTTCCCAGGTAACGTGGCCAATTCCGTCACAATAGAGTTGAAGCGAGAAGAAAAAGTCGTGCTGTGAGCTGATGAGGAGCTCTTCGATAAACTCCAGTGACAGACCTGGAGTTTGGCTTCGGGTGGAGCCATCCCTGAGAGCTTTGGCGTACATCTCGTCCACAACTTGAGGCGGCAGGAGACGTATCAAAGGAAGTGCTTCAGGTGGGGTCACTGTCTTGACGTTTCCTTTGACTGCTGGTCTCTGGAACAGGGCATTGATACTGACCGCCACAGTCAGAAGTTGGTCGCAATTAGTGGTCTCGTTGAGCTGCAGCAGTACCGACGGTCCGTCTGTTGCCGGATCGTCCCCATGGCTTATTGCCCTCACGTGGCCAATGAAGCCAACGTGTTGGTGTTCGAAGGCCTCCAATCGCTGCAGCAGCAACGACAGATCGCTGTAACAACAGACATGAGTTGCCATTGGTATAACTTTGCATTCGACCAAAGGGAGCCGTACCTGAACGAGCACACGTCCAACTCGAAAGCTTCCTTAAAGTCTTCAACGCTCGTGGGAAGGCGATTCCGAGGACGATACTTCTTCTCAATGTGGGCAGTCAACTTGCTCTCTCCAAGACCTTTGCGTGAGGCGACAACTGCATTCTTTCTGACGTCGTTGGCAAAGTAGACATTCAAATTGCACTCTTCAAGCGAGTGGAATGGGCTCACCGCTTCGTTCATCCGTAGCACTGAGAATGTACTTGTTGTTGCATATTGAATCGCTTGAGCACCCGGACGAATGACCCACTGGAGCTTGGTGACCATCAGGGTGTTGCCTGCCTCGAGTGCTCGAAACACTGCGGGCTGCGAGCACTCTTCTAGCTTGATAACCAGTTCGTGAGACGAGCTGCTGTCGATCATCTTGATCCAGCGGTACTCAGTCACCTCAGAAGCATTCTCTTGCACTTTTCGCTTTCGACAAATCCGCCCGACATTTGATAGAACCCCCACATAGTCGAAGTACATGGCGTTGAGGTCATTGTTGCCACTCGTGCCCCAGTACCGAGTGTTCAGCGTCGACACCATGTTGCACTCGAGCCACGATGGGCGCAACTGGTGTAAGATCCAAGAACCTGCTTGCTGGGAGGACAGCGAGGCTTCACCAAGCAGGTGCGGGGCAATCTTCGCCATCTCCAAGAACTTCCAGTACTTCTCTGCGAACAAGAGGACAGTACCAAGAACATTAGTCAAGTGGACAGCAAAACAACAATTCCATCCAACACTACGTACTTGGGACATGGAACACACTTCCAGACGAGTCGTGCGGATAACACACCAAAGGACTCGTTGACATTGTCCACTCAATTTCTTGTGGACGGACGGAGGAATAGCCTCGGAAAGAAAGGAGGTCACCTTCATGCAGTGCCAGAAAGTACTTGGCACACATGGCCCCGAAGAACATGACCTCAAAAACACCCGTAGCATCCACTAGGTAGCACGACAGAGTACACAGAGATTAGACAAATAAGATACGAGCATCCCGCGTCACTTACCAACAACTGCGTTGAATGCGAACGGGAATGGGTTGGAGATGCTTGGGTCTCCGAGGTGCAGCACCTTCGACTTGACTCGAACAGCTCCTATCATTGGCGGGTTTGATGTGCTGTGTTTCTTAATCTTGTCCAGAACCTCCAGGATCGTGTGGAGTTTGTTCCACTCGGGCGTGAACAGGTTCGCGCAATAGTCCGGGACCATATTCCACGCCACTGAGCTGGTCGTAGATGCCACAGCTCCATAGCGACTCGACCAGTTTCTTTCCAGCTCGTCCAGCGGGGAGTCCTCGTCAGGGATTCCACCCGTGAAGCTGCATGCCCAGTCTAACGTGTAGTGGTCCGAGCGCAGAGGCATGTAATAGAGCCTCTCTCCGACTAACGGGAGCAGCTCTACTTCTCGTAAGTCAGTCGTCGATATAAAATTAAGCTGGCCGTCAGATTTGCGCTCTCCGTTGTGTCGAGTCACCACTTTATCCGGCAGGACTCTGTCATCGCTTAGTGACGTGATGGCTACATCCTGTAGCAGCACCACTCGATACTTGTACTCTTCGTCCTCCATGAAAACTTTGAATTTGGTCACCTGAAGCAGCACGAACAAAAGCAGCCAAGCCAATTAGTCAAATTCATGGCTACACAATGGCGCAAGGAGGACAAGTGAAGTGTGTTTCGTACTCGAATGAGGCTACGAGCTGTCAGTTCACGTGTCCACACAAGTTTGTGGCACTTTGGAGCCAGCACCGTCTTCATCTTGTGGTGCCCATCGCTCAGTAGCACGTCAAACACATCATGCGCGTCGGCGAAGTGCTGACCAAGTCGCTTCTTCAGTGCGGGGTCCGCTAAATCTGTTCAATCAGTCAGCAATTCAGCACTCAACGAGCATGATAGGGAGCTAGGAGACTCTATACGTACAGCGATAGACTCCTAGCACTTGCAATCGGATCACAGCTTCCACCGTCTCATCTTGATAGAGCTGCTGCACTCCGTGCGTCGTTAACAGCGCTGGCATGGTAATTTACGAATGAAACGCGAACTTACCCTCCGAATCTACTCATTACATTCACGTTGCGAACTTAATCTCACATTGTTAAGTACGCACTAAGCATATAAGACAAACGAGTTTTGAATTTGCCGCCCAATGAGAGCCTTCAGAAGCGTAATCTATCCCGAAGCATCAGCAAACATGTCCAAGTCGCGTCGCGTGGCCTTCTCGGGCGCCGAGGTGATCGAATACAACGCAGCAGTGGCCCCCGTCGTCAAATTCTGCGGTGCTTTGGGCTGTGCACGTGGCTCGTCATTGACGCTCGAGTGTGAGGCGAGAGGTCTCGAAGTCTCCGATGAGCGCTTAACCTTTCAGTACGTCGAAGAACTGCAGCGTTTCTTGCGCTCTCGAGGCTTCGAACCAATGAGCGACGACCTAAAGGAACTGCAGATCCAGCGCCAAGTCGTGGAACTGCTTCTGGCTTGGACTGCACTCGAACACAAGGCGAATTGGCCAATGGCCGCGGATGTGCTGGACCCGGCAACTTTACAACGCGCGCAACTGGAAAAGAAGCAACTCGAGGGCCGAGTGGACGATGGCTACGCGTTCGGACGTCGGTTCTTCTCTGTGTCTACGTACGTTGAGATTCTGAGCAGTGAGGAGCTACTGGCTGTGGCTAAGGAGAGAAAAATGGAGCTACCCATGCTGGATGAGAAACAGCGGGCACGCGTCAAGGCGCTGGATAGAGAACTCCTGGGACTCTATGGTACAGCAGAGGGACGACCACTGAGATCATTGACAATGAGGCAGTTGGTGACTGAAGCTGAAGGGCGAGGGATGCTCGGACCTGGGGGTGAGAAGGCGAGGGACATCAAGGACAAGAAAAGCAAGCGAGCGTGGGTGGATCTGCTCCGACCGCTGATGGTGGCCGAAGTGCGAGCCTCTAAAATCCGTGAACAGCAAGAAGAAATGCTGCGAAAGAAGTTGGCGCAGGAATTGGAACGGGAGAAGGAAGAAGAACAGAAGCAGCGTGTCGTAGAGTTAATTCAGGCTATCGTGAAGCGGTCTGAGGGCTCTGCTTGTGCAGAGCCCGAGGATGACGACGCAACAATGAGCCAAGAGAGTAACCCAAAGGTTGACAAGACACGCAGGTACTTGGAGGCGCTAGTCATGAGTGTTTGCATACGTAGGGAGACTCAAGAAGACGTTGCTATGGCATGAATCCAAGGGGTGCACTTCTTCAATATCTATGAAACTATGTGCAAGTCGAGCTATTCTACCACCAATACAATCGACTGGCTTGGCGCCAAGCAGGTGACGCGTGCTACCCATGACGCTCGAAACGAACGCAGCAAAATCCCGACAAACTATTTTAGCAGCGCCAAGAATATTTTCCTCAACGCGTACGAGTCGGTCAAGACCGCTGAATGTATCGGGTGTCGGTCTATCTAAAGCTGCGAACACCAGAGACGGACTCTGCACTTTAAACAGCGTGCTGGCCACTACGTCAGGCTGTGTCTCGGCTCTTGGAGGAGGAAGGTCATCCCCACACATGACCACGTCGAGAGGCCCAGGAGTCAAAATGTCTTCGCTACACCGTCGTCAATCAGCGTTGAACCTGCCGCCTCAAACAGCCAGTGATGCAGACGCAAGCGCCGTTAGCCTCGAGATTCAACCCGCTCTTTCCTTTACTGACGTTCAAGACGATGAAAACGCGTCACAAGGAGAACGGTCGCCCACGTGTCGGAGTTCCCGGGATAAACGAAGCAAAGCAACGCGAACTGGCAGACAATTCTCGCTAGAAACAAGCCCAGAACTCTACGAGACTCAACAAGGGTCAGACACACTACGCAGTCGCCATGGATCTCGAACCAGCACCGCTAGGCATCTACGAACGCTTTCGCGAGACTTTGTGCTGCACTCGCTGCCCACTTCGTCTGTTCGACACGAGAGTTTAACCAGCCTCAAGGATCAATTCCTCAAGATTAAAGAACGCTTCTCCCCGTCAGTCTCGCCGCTTCACAGTACAGCTTCGGTGACGCCTTCTGGCTTGGCCCTACAAGATCTGACAGCTACAATTAATAATGGAGTATCGACTGCTGGCCACGTATTATTACCAGACCAGCGTGAACTCGCCAGCCGAGAAGATGGAAGCTGGGAGCTCCCGCAGGCGCGGGTGGAGCGCTGGTATCGCGAGGATGATTTTTTCAAAGCTTGTATCACGTGTTGGACGATGGAGGCTGGGGCTGCCATCGTGTCGAAGGTCGCTCGGGTCGTCTCGGAATGGGCAGCAGATACTTCGAGCTGCTCTCCTCCTATTACTGGAAGTGCCAACTCTATCAATCCGGACGTGTCGTTGCAGTGGATTGGTCGACAGCTCTGGGCTGTGACTGTGTCATTACCTCTCACACGCTCGGGAGAGCTTCACTCGGAGCATATCACACTTGCACATCGGATTAACCAGGCTGTAGCGGAAGTATCCAAACAAACCAGCACCCGATTGACTACTTCGCCCGTAGCTTGTCAACCTTCTCATGAGACGTTGAACGAGAATGGTGACATGGAAAACACAGAGTCGAGTTCACTACAGCCACCACATTCACCTATCCAACTCGGTAGGGACGATGAAGAAGACTCAGCCCTGGATAAGGTTAACTCGAGTCCGTTTAGCACTCTAGCGGTAGAAGATATTGAGATTCTACGGCTTCAACAAGCACAAATGGCCGGCAAAATGGGTGACAATGACGACGATACTGCATGTGTTGACAGAAGAGACGATGATGACTCAACGGAACAGGGTCAAGACGACAATGACGAAGAGGAAGAGGACACGAGCGAGCAAGTAGCAGCACTGCCTCTGTCGTGGTCGATGCTTTCTCTATCATCGCAGCCTTCTGGGTCATCGGAGCATGCGTCGCTGCAAGGCGAGTTCACTCTCACGGACGACGACAGCTTTACAGATCCAGCTGCTCACCTCGCTCCGGAGAAAACTGGTTGGCTCAAAAAGAAAAAGCGTAAACAGCATGGACTCGGCAGCTCCTGGCAGCCTCGCTACTTTGAGCTTAAAGGGAATCGACTGTATTATTTCTCTAGTGAAGCGGATGGACTCCCACGAGGTGCAGTACTCTTGGATCACGCACTTGTGCAGCGAGGTCGAGGTGACCACGCTATGGCCTTCAGTATCTCGAGTGCCAGCTCTCATCGTCGACTGCAAGTACTCAAATTCTCGGCTAGACTCACTCATCAAGTTCGTCCGTACGAGGCGATTTTTTGCTTTTTACTCATTGATTCTGTTTGTTTACTCACTCTTTTGTTGCATACTCACTTTGTTAGACGGAAATCAATCGAGTTGCGCGTCGTCGAGGAGACGGAAGCTGCTGTTAGTACATGGATTGCAGCACTCAATCGTGCGTCATTTTACTGCAAACTTGCATCAGCGACAGCTGGGTCTTCGTCGACGTTACCAGCTCATTCTTCGTCGTCCTTTGGTCCCTTTTCAATCCCCGACAAGAAACGTAAAACTCCGTTCTATCGCTTCCGTTCTCCGACCGCCACAAAAGCAACTCTCGCGTCATGTTCGTTCTCCGTCAAAAAGGAGCAAACAGACGTGGAAAATGCCGACACGGAACAACTTCGGACTGCTACAGCGCGCTGGACCGCGTCGTACCAGCAAGTGGGAAGCGTGCAGTACTTGCGGGAGACTGATCCTTTATTATGGGAGATCCATCCTCCAGAGCAGATCGCTATCCGCAAAAAAGCAGCTCGAGCACGAACACGTAGCGACTATCTGGCTATTTTTTCGCGTCATTCAGAGACCTTTTCGCAAATCTTCTTGCCCAGGCCTCAACCAATTTCTCTCGAACAGACGCTGCGTGACATCCTTCCCGAGTTATTTCTCATCAATGACACGCTTTACGGTGGTGGAGAACAGCAGCAGCAAGCAGCTGAACAGAGCAGTAGCGACTTCGCGGGACAGCCACTGCAGAGTCGTGGACTTGAGCATATTTTCGAGGTGCTCGACGCTCACATCCAACGGTTTGCAGCTGCCCCGGAAGAGCGTGTACGTGCGGTAAGTGCATTATTGCAGGCTTGTGCACGCACTATCAGCGGCGGTGACTCGTACTTTGTGGTACATCGACTACTTGGCAACCCGAATTTGATCATTAGGCCAGCCGAAGCTCGAGGAAGACCAATCGAAATCGACGTGTCTCCTGACCGTCCGAGCCGCTTTCTAATTACCGTGTTTAGTGCCTTTTCCTTCCATTTACTGGATGATGTGGAGCGCTTTGGTGACTCAAACGACGCTACTGGAGGTGGAATGACTCCTGCTCCTTTGCTGCGAGTTCGTACTCGGCATATCCAGGAATTTGAATTTGCTGGTGGCGCGTCCACTCGCTGGTTGAAGATCGATGTTGAAGGTCGAAAAGAAGACGGAAGCCCCGCTGGGAGCGTCGGTGGAGGGGGAACTATAGGACGATGGGGGAGTCGTCGGCATTCTCATGAAGGCACTGACTCTCGAATTGGGGCATTGCTGGATGCACTATCTTGAGACAGCGAAGAAAATTATTGAAAGTAGTGGAGTCAATGTCTCGCACGACTGGGTCCCTAGTGTCAAGAGTATTTACCTCTGTCAGTTTACGGCTTGGGCATTACCGTGTTAATGACATTAACCTAATTTACTATCGGGTGCGGTCAACGCGGGAGAACATTTTCGTAAATCCACTTGCCAAAATCTGCAAAGCACAATATCTACTTTGGATAAAATCCAGAGAAAGCGGTTATTCTTACCAAGAAACTACTTCGACAAAGTTAAAACGTTCTTTCATGATACATCCACAAACGATGGTGATTTTTTTAAGACTTGGAGGGCTTTGAGCTCATAAAACCGTGATCCACGATGATTTACAGCAAGAAAGTGGTTACCGGAAAAGTCGTAAAGATAGAGCTCCAATTTTCTATTGTGAAATGTATCATTCCGACTTTTGCTCATTTGATGATGGAACAACAAATTATATAAGGGAAATCATCAATTTAGGGCCGCCCTGAAAAAAAGTCACATAACTCGGCAACTATTTGCACAGGGACACAAAGCGAGACAGTGTCCGAAAGCTTGTAATCTGAATTTTTTTATCGTATTTTTTGCGGCCAATGACCAATAGCATTGATCGTTCAGGACACGGCAGCAGTCGCATCAGTTCAGGGCCGCATTTAACCTTAACTTCAGTACTAAAATGTTCAGCTGGTGAAAATTTCAAGCCCATTCAAGCATAGGGTTTGATCACCCTTTCTTTTTATGTTTATGCATCTTGATAAAATTATGGAGGATACATAATTATGCAAGAATAATCAAACGTCTGTCATTACCAAAACAAAATCAGAAACGTCAATTGCTGACAGCTCAGTCGTTTAGACGCTAGCTTATTGAGGGCCCATTATGGGAGCAGGGGTGTCGCGGGCTCGAGTCTACTCGTTGCCGTTAATTCTCCGCACTGAAAAGGTAAGTTATCAATTCTTAAACATTGTGTAAAGATTGCAACTAACCTTTTTGTTGATTAGCTACACTACGACGGAATTGACAATATGTTGGGCTGCGCTCGTTTCTTGAGGGACTCCATCGTCTTTGCCTTCGGTGGCGACTGCAGATTTCTGCGCGACTTAGTACGTGTTCTGCTGCTGGTGGTCCAAGCCATATTTGCAGGCTTTATTGCGTTGGGTTTGTCAATCGAATAACAGCCCTCATCGTCCTCGTCAACGACCTCCTTTATCAGATTGCAGAGTTTCACTTTTAGTGTCGCATTAACTGCAAGTTGCAGTCTGCAACGTCCAGAGGCTGCAATAGGTGGGTGGCGTTGGGCGGAAGCATGTCCTCTCAAGTATCTTGGTTTGCGCCGCGACCTCGGGAACCGCCGCACCGCTGAGTATTTTTGCCACAATGGCAGTCTTGGTGTCAGTAGAGTAAGTGTGGCGAGTCTTAGACATGGCTTGGGTCGGACAAATAAGAAGTGAAGCGTTTGTTTTCTTCTTGCAAATGTTTGAACGGAGTGGATGGCGCTCAACAACCTCATTTGGTTGGAGGAGCTGAATAAAAATATGGCGCCAAGAGTTCACCCCTTCTGCAAATTATAATTTTAAAGGTATTCGTACTTAGCTTATTATAACCAATAGTTTCCAAGTTCAATGGAGTACTGTATATGATTGGCAGTAGCTTATGCGGCCCTAAATTGGTTCGCGGCCCTAAATTGATGATTTCCCTTAAGACAAGGTGATGTATTATGCATGTGTTAAAACAAGGTAGGAAATGGGTGATCGACGTGTGCCACTCATACATCAAGTCCTCCAGCAACCCCAAGAATTACTATCCGCAACAACTAGATATGCCTCACGGGCGTATTCCCAGACACTATACAGACAAATTCAAGGTGCGGATGTAGTGACGCACCAACGTCACAGCCAGCGATGGCCATGACGTTGGTACCAATGCGTCCTACTTTCTTCTATTTTCTTCCTACTTGTCTTTGCTGACTGCCAACTGTCTTCTTAAGTTGCCAATGAGCGGCCAGGCAGACACACGCCTGACCGGAAGGCAATCACCATGTTTGGACGAGTATTGCCAAAATTGGAACTTCAATGACAGTCATTCTTTTTCATTTGAATTCACTATGGAGATTCTGACCCGGTTCAAATGAGCCGCGGTTCACTACTACGCTACGCTACTTCAAGATTCGACTCAAGGACTACTTAGAATCCAGTATAGTGAAATACATATCCTTATATAGGATATCAAGGGAATGCTAACAAGCACTTCCTCGTAGCCGACAAACAACTAACCATTTCTGTAACGGGGTAAGAGATACCGTTACTAGCTTACACTGTAATGCGGAGGAAGCTCGCAATAATAAAACCAAGTCTTAGGTTTGTTTCAAATTCAACTTAGGACCAGGGCGGCTACCCCTGGCCTCGTGTGAGCCACTCAAACACATGTCTATATCTGATTGGTCAATAAGTGAGTCTGGCTCCTCACTATCAATCAATCAGATGATGACACCTTGGCACACGCTACCCGTGTGCCACTTTACCTACTTATGTAATAACTAAAGAAATATCTACCTACTTATGTAATTGGAGTTGGGCCCATTACATCACCCTCCTCTCTAAGTTGCGCTTACGCAACATAAGCGCACGGAACACAATTGAAGAAAACTCGAAAACCCAACGGAGCGAAGATGGCCGAGGACAACACGACGCAGTCAACGGACGTTAGCACCAGCGCGACGCTGGTGACAGCAGCAAGCATCGACACACTAACGGCGGCGGTAACCCAGACAGCCGAGACACCGGCGGAGCCGACAGTCACGAGGATCAGCGCCGGAAGCACGCGGTCGCGCGTGATGGACGACGCCCTGGTTCCCTGGGACCTGTACGACTTGTCAGGAGCGGAGAATCCGGATACGCTCGACACTAAGAAGAGCCACTTTCGTCGCTTCCGCGCGACGCGGAAGAAATACATTGAAGGCGCTGATCGTGAGGGACTTCGTCGCTCCTGGTGTGCCTTCATCCGGCGATGGAACCGGATGTCGCGTGCTGGAGAAAGTTTTGTCGACTGGTTGACGTATCGCGAGGAGATCCTCGCGGATCATTCGATTGGAGAGCTACGCGTGAAGGTCTGCAACAACGCATGGGATGTGGACCGACTCTGCTTCGTGCACGTGAGAGAGGGATGTGAGTCCTGTGGTACTTCAACCCGTCCGACTCAACGCGAATGGAGGGAACATCTCGCTGAGCGGCCACTCAGCGGAGAGGAGTCGGGATGGATCGGGAAGTACGAGCACACCCTGTCCAGTATGGATCAGGCGGCTAATCGCGGCGGCTCACGCCGACGTTGCACGCGTCGGAGCGCGGCGTCGTTGTCGCCTCCTCGTGCGGGTCGTTCTCGTGGCCGTTCTCGATCTCGTTCACGGTCTCCGCGGGGTGACCCGCGGAATTCTTCTTCTCAAGCAGCATGGTCTCATACTCGTGGACCACGTCCGGAACGTCGCGTAGAAGGTTGGCGCGGGGCTCTCACGTATCATGTTCTGGGGGATAACCGAGCCAACGTACCAAGTAGCGGCGCGCGGTCGGAACCGCGCGAGGAACACGACTACGGACGTTTCGTTGAGCGGTCGAGCTGTGAGGATCTTCGTGGTCAACGATACGCTCCACAATCCAGCGCGCGTCACCCACCGAGTCAATTATCGGTGGTGGGCCTTCACGATGATACGGCGTACGCCCTGTACGTTCAGGGCGAGGTGGAGGCAGCTTCGAACCGCGCGTTGGACGCTCAGGTTGGGGCTGAGCGGGCGAAAGATCGTGCCTGGCGGGCTGAGCAGATCGCGTCGGAGCTTCGTCAGTCGAATCGGGAGCTGTTATCTCGCCTACGGGGATTGGAGACGCATGTGCTTGGCTCTGCCCAGCAGGGAGATCGTCCGCGAGAGCGGGCGCCAGGGGCTGACGGCTTTCTGGCGCGTCAGGCTCGTCGGGCTGGTCGCCCGACGCATGCTCCGTCTGCTGGATCGAATCAGGAATCGTCGCAGGGAAGTACCGCTTGAGTCGCCCGACGTAAAAAGTCGGGTGGAGTCTAAGTGACGACGGGATGTCCAAGGTGTAGGCGTCGCCCACAGCCTTGGTTACACGAAAAGGACCGATGAAGCGTGGGGCAAGTTTGTTGGCGCCGAGGTTGGTCACGGCGGAAGCGCGGATTCCCTCGGTCGATAGGAGAACGCGATCTCCTATCTTGAATACATTCACGTTCTTTCGACCGTGCTTATCAGCTTGTTCCTTTTGCTTGTCCACTGCGTTCTGCAGTGCGTCGCGGACAAACCTTGAGATGGATTGCCTTTGCATGACGAATTCCGCAACTGCCGAGCGATCGGCAGGAAGCACCGAGAGTTTCGGTGTATAGTTTGCTGTGGTAACTTCTTGCTCACGAATCTTGCGGCCTGGATCGATCAAGTGCTGCGACGTCCATCTCGTTATCGGAGATGCAGTATGCCGAGGAGGCTCGATGGACTGCTTGGACGGAGAACGAGTCAGGGCGTTCGCACTGGCTACACCCGAAGATAACCCTGAAGTCGAGTGCGCCGGCAGGCTTGTTGACACCGGTGAGGCTACCGGTGCGTGCTGAGACACCGGCTCACGTACCGGTGATGACCACGACACGGACGCGTTGTCCCTAGAGCTGAGCGCAGCTTCAGCATCCATGTCGACCGAAGGAGGTTCTCCCCCACCAAGGGTGGAGCCGCCAGCATCCGTGGGGTGACCCACGGCGAGAAGTGCCGGAACACGTGGGTGGCGTGCGTTGTTCACGAAGAACGGCGTCATACCCGTCGAGGAGTGCTCGGCGTTGTTGAGTGCGAACTCGGCTAGCGGTAGGAACGAGCTCCAGCTCGTGTACGAAGTTGCATAGCTGCGGAGAACGTCTTCAAGGACGCGGTTGACGCGTTCTGTTTGTCCATCCGTCTCCGGATGTGCCGCAGTTGACATCAGCAATTTGGTTCCCAATAGCTCGAAGAG